AAAAACCACCTGGTCTCCTTACAGTCACCTCCCTCAGCCACTCTTTCATCATCTCCTCAATGAGGAGATGAGGAGTTCTGCATAAAGCACATACCTGTTCTTTTATGCACAATCCACGCCCACACTTCCCCCTTTAACGTTCTCATGGCAGTCTCAACGTCCGCAGTAACAACACACATAGGGTGCGCCGCACTTTAGGACACGCCGCACATTTTGGGGGAAAAAAAAGACGTTTATATGCGGCTTATAAATATGTATCTCCCTTAGAGATAGGGTGAGAAGCTCGCTCATCCAGGAAGGACTCGGAGTAGAGCCGCTGCTCCTCCACGTCGAGAGGTTAGGATGCCTCCTGGATGTCTCCCTGGTGAGGGGTTCCAGGCACGTCCCACTGGGGGGAGACCAAGGACACGCTGGAGGGACGATGTTTCTCTGCTGGCCTGGGAACGCCTTGGGGTTGCTCCTGAGGGGCTAGAAGAAGTGGCTGGGGAGAGGGAAGTCTGGGCCTCCCTTCTTAGGCTGCTGCCCCCGCGACCTGACCGCGGATAAGCGGAGGAAGATGGATGGATGGATATATATATATATATATATATATATATATATATATATATATATATATATATATATATATATATATATATATATACATCTATATAAACAGAGGATGCTGTTAAGAAGATGAAAAGTTGGTCATGTGGTTAAACCCCAAACTTGTAGCTCCTTTGTTGTTTGACATTGTTTCGTTTATCTGCAGGAGATTATGGACCGTATCTATAAGAATGTGATGATGAAGGTGGAGGAGATGAATTGCTTCCAGCGAGCAATCTTCATCCGAGCATACAACTACAAGCTGGAACAGCTGTTAAAAGGCCGCAGCACCCCGCTGTGTGACAGGTACACAGCCAGGATTTGAACATGTAAATATAAGAATAGCAGAAATGAATGTTTTCTCCTCTCTTTCCTTCCTGTTGAAATAGGTTTGTGTTCAGAAAGGTTCGTTCTCTGCTTGGTGGTCGAACCCGCGTCTTGTTATCAGGTGGGGCTCCTCTCTCCGCCGCCACGCAGCGATTCATGAACGTGTGTCTGTGTTGCCCAGTGGGTCAGGGATATGGCCTGACGGAGACCTGCGGCGCTGGGACTATATGTGAATGTAAGCTAGAATATTTGTTGGTATCTAAACTGTCTGTCTTCACGTTTGCCTTGGTTTGCTTTAGATCCGTTATATGAAATAGAAACACAGAGAGAAACAGATGCAGCTTTTCTTTTCCCATCCGCATGAAATCACCTCTGACCCAATCTTGGAGTTATCTAACCAAGAACAAATTAAAAAATAAAAACTGTTCATTTGTTTATAAATGGCACCATTTCCCCTCTGACTGTCACATGCAGTGCTTTGTAAAATTATTTTGTATTTAGTTTAATTCAATTTAGTTAAGTTTATTTCTCATAGCTCTTAACAGAGACAATAATGTCCGATTGGTTCTAAGTTTTCAATCCAAAGAAAACCAGCTGGTTGCATCCAGTCATTGAAGACCCGCTTCTCTTAGATCAACCTGCAGAAATGATTTTTGCCAACATTTAGTCATTGACTCTTCAGCAATCCCTCACAACAAGCATGCTTGTAGCAACAGTGGAGAGGAAAAACAGGAAGAAAGCTCATCAACAGCTCAGCTGTAGAGGTGGTCAGCAGCACCACATTCATCACAGACACCCTC